ACGTCTTCATCCATACGAATAGAATTAAGGTTTGGAAAGCGTATTGTTAAATTGTCTCTCAATCACCACATAGGGAAAACTTTACTAATATAGCCACAAGACCTTACTCAGTTCAAAAAGGAGTCCCCATATACAAATGACAACTTCGGCATACCGTATGATTATGGAAGCAACTTGCACTACGGATCAAAAAGGTTGGCAACTCAAATATATGCGTCTCATCATTACTGAAAGTTCTGGAACAGCTTTATATACGATTGGCTGCGAGACCGACCTAATGCACATTCCATGGTGCCCGTCGATGCCCTTTACATCGACACTTTAGGTTCACCATTCCTTTCCTTCTACGATTTGCTTATGATGAACACACTTTACGGGTGTTTGGGTAAGGCTCTGCGCACTGAAGATAATATTTATGCAGCTCTTATTCCAGATAAATGCAGACAAAGGCAACGTTCACCTGAACAAATTGAAATCGAACGTTATCCACCATTTATGGGCCCACGAGGTTTACCGGGCGGTTTTGGTGGTTTCGGTGGCCCACCTCCGGGTTTCATTGGTGGGCTCAGTGCAGATTTGACAACAGCTTTGGCGCTTTAGCAGCGGTCTTAACGGCATAATTGTAGGCGGCGGAGGCTTCCCAGGCGGCTTCGGTGGTTTCGGTCCGCCCGGCATTGGATTTCCAGGCATTGATCAGATGATCTCAAACTTTATCTTCGGAGGTTCGACAGACTGGAGGAACTTACCCGGTATGGGAGGCTTTCTTCCCGGCTGGCTACCCTGTTGGGGCTGGGACTCGCCCGGTCCTTGTGGAACCAGCACAACCATCACCCCCATCAGACCCGTTACATCTGGGCCACCTGCGCCGTCCATTCCCGGTCCAACCTACTCCAGAGCGAATTGTAAAATGGGAGGTTTTCCACATCCTCGCGATTGTTCGAAATGCATTTGTCCAGGTGGCTACGGAGGCCGACTGTGTGAGAAAAGGGTATGTAATGTCTTCACATACATCTCCGTTGACGCAAGCTTGTCTCGCAAGTTTAAACGTTATAATTTTCCACTGCCTCATAAGGCGGTAAAATCACGGTAAAACCGATATATTTGAATAATTTTTCGAGATGTGTCCAACACTTTCAATAAAGCTAGTACTTTCTAATCTTTGAATCCAAGAAAAAGATTTCGAAATTAATACTTCGGGATGCTTTCTTTTATTCTTTTCAAAAGCTTCGGGCGCCTTTTTTCTTGTTTTCGTAGCCGCGTCTAGCTGAGCATGAATGCAACACCTTCGTGTTTTTTCCCTTAATGGCCTCTTAGAATTATCTTATGCAAACAACTACGTCTCAGGGGTATAAATTTCATCTTGACTGCATCAACTGTTTGGTACAAATTTCATTTGCTCCATAAATGTTATGATTGGTCATGTCCGTGGGTTTAAGTGGTAAAAAAAATTGTGGTCCCCAAAAAGAGGTGCCGAAAAGCGTCTATCAGTCAACACAAATTTAAACAGTTTTTTTGTGAATAGAATCTAGTCTAATTACAAATTGGTGGCAACGTTCTCTTGACAAAACTTTTCCGAAAGGCTAGGCTGAAAATTAACTTTTTCCATGAAGGAAACTATGAAACTAAAAGAAAACGGGTGACGTACAACAGCCCGTAATTCGGGTGGGAAAGACGGCTTGCGACGTTTTAATCTTGACGATACCGTCGGAATTACATAACGTTGTTTAAAATGATTTTCATGAGGTCGGGTTTTAATATTTGGGAAG